GTGTGCACGGAGCTCGACCTAGTTCTTTTCCCGTAGAGCAAAATCACCAACTTACTCGTCCGTCAGTTTCTGAGAAGTTGTTTGATGGTTCGTCTTATCGCCGCCTTGTCGGCCGTCTACAGTACTTGACAGTCACTCGCCCGGATATCACCTATGGTGTGAACATTCTCAGTCAGTTTGTCAATGCTCCTACACAGGCTCATTGGGATGCAGCTATGCGCATTCTTCGGTATTTAAAATCTTCTCCAGGACAAGGTTTGTTCTTTCCGGCTCAAGGTTCGCTTGATCTAATAGCCTACTGCGATGCTGATTGGGGTGGTTGTCATACTACTCGTCGTTCCACTACAGGTTTTTTTATCAGTCTTGGCTCGGCTCCTGGCGGACTAAGAAATAGAAATTCGTTGCTCGGTCGTCCGCCGAAGCTGAATATCGAGCTATGGCTATTACAGTTAGTGAAGTTATCTGGCTCAGGTGGTTACTCAGTGAGTTGGGCGTTACACAGTCGGGTCCGACACCCCTTTATTGTGATAATCAGGCCGCTCTCCATATTGCTGCTAATCCGGTTTTCCATGAGCGTACAAAGCACGTGGAGATGGATTGTCATTTTGTACTCGAGCGCGTGGTTTCAGGTGACATTGCGCCTCGTAAAGTCAGTTTCGAGTTGCAGCTGGCGGATCTTTTTACTAAAGGGCTCTGCACAGATCGCTTTCGCAGTCTCTTGTCCAAGCTGAACGTTCGTGATCTTCACCGTCCAGCTTGCGGGGGTGTATTGGGCCAAGGAGAGGATCAGTCGACTTTGGCCCATCACGTGCAGCCGTGCATGGTCGTGCAGTCATCACCGTGTCCAATTGGTGATAGGAATTGTACCCTTGTTGACTTGTGTAAGGGTATAAATATCCCTGTAAGGTGTATCGGCCAAGTAACATAATAATAAAAACCTAAAGTCTTCTGTGGATGTAGATCTCACACACCGTGAGATTGAACCACGTTAAACAAACGTGTTCCTTTAATTTCCGCAATTCATATTATTTCTCAGTGAAATGTTGAACTACTGTAATAACTCTAATACAAGTGGTTCATTGGTTTGATATGTGTTTTTAAAAAAATCTTAATATCCAAAATATCATTGTAGAAGGGGTTGTGAAATTGATAACGAGTTGTCACTATATCCAATGTCTAATAAGGTGATTTAAAAAAGTTTAAGGTTAATATCATTTCATACTCATGTACTATTGCAAATTAACAAATGTAGCCTTATAGTATTTTATTTTCACAAACATACCCTTCTATTATCAAAAAGTAACAAGAGTACCCTTCCATCCAAAAATTTGTTTATGGTTGTTCAATGGATGTGGGATAACCCAACTATCTCTAATTATATTTGTTAACTTGTAATAGAAAATGGTATAAAATTCTATTACGTATTAACCCAAAAAGTTTAATAATAGGCATTGATTGATGATGCATTGAAGCTATATTACCAACTAGCTTTGTGCCCGACCTATTGGCCGGGTGACTGACGCAATTTATTTTACCGATCAAGTAATTCATAATTGTTCTTAATATAGCAATTTATCATTTTTACCATTGATTTGAAGAACATCTTTGTCGTCTCTCAATGATTATGAATCGCATAAATTATTTTGAGTATTTAATTTAAACAATACATACTTCTAAATTAGATATTCTAAATAGAATTATTATGGTACTTTTATTAAAAAAGAAAATATGATAGAATTTAATTTCTTTCTTGATATTGATTCTAAAAAATGACCATTGAAATATAAAAAAATTTATTTCAAATATAATAAATAGATTTATGATGAGATCTAATTTAGAGGCTAATTTGTAGCAAATGAATTTAAAGGACGATGATGAAGTAAATTCAAGTGCGAGGAGTATATATGATATAAGAACAATAAAGTAATAGCATCCACATCAAGCAATTATATTGAATTGCAAAGTGACGTGGCAAAGAAAATGCAATTGCATTACCAATTTCATGGACGTAAGTCTCAATTGCAATAATTAAAATTTTCATTTTATGCAACTCTATATGCAATTGCAATGTAAGTATATTTTCTTTTATTAAAAAATAACACACATACAAACCTTTTATTTTATTTAAAAATAAATTAGGCCCACATATACAATTGCAAATTAATTACATTGATATGGATACTGTAATAAGAATTTATTATTAAGGGCAAACTTATACCATTATCTGGACCTTGTCGACATTATCCTTTAATCATTAATCCATTTTTTCCAAGCGGGTATAAAAGATAAATTGAGAAGCAATTATTCATAAATATTGAAAGAAAGGAAATAAATTTTCAAATCTCACCTATCACCTATCTCTACAAAACTGTGGGAAAAAACAAAAAAATATGATGAAGGTGGTTATTATTATTTTTTTATAAGAGAGGAAAGTGGTTATTAAGGATGAGTTTAGAGACAGTTTCAGAAGAGAGAAAGAAGCAACATGTTGTAAAATTATGGTGGTTATATTTTTTTATTAGCGATTCCAAAAAAACATTTCCGAAAAAAAAAGAAGATAGAGAAAGGACGGGTTGGATCAGGTCCTTAAACCTCATTGTTTAATGAGGTTCTTAAATCATTTTTATTGGCTGATACTAGATTAGGTAGCTAATGAGGGGTTAGTAGTTAATAGTTAGTTGGAATAAATAAGATATTATGAAATTAAAGTTAATATTACTCATTAATGATTCTCTTTCTCTCTCCCCCTTGATCTTCTCCATAACCCTCTCTCTCCACTACAATTAAAAGGAAATTCAAAATTAATCTAATTAAATATTATTATTTAATATTTAATAAATTCGAACTTAATATTTTTTATTCTTTAAATGAAAATTTAAAATTAAAAATATATGCTCTCTCTCACTTAGTGACAACTTGCAATGCAGTATTAACATTTTGCAATGACATTATCAGCATTTATGAAATGAATCGTTATTATTATACCTCATTATTATTAACAACTTCAATATACTTATCAATTTCTTACAATTACATTATTAACAATTTTGGATCAATTGTTACCGTTTTATAGTTTCGTCATCAATGCCTATGAATGAATCATCAAAGTTATGTAACATGGTCATTAATAGTTGAATAACAATATCATTGATTTACAACATCTTTAGTACTAATGATTCACATTTTCACATCATGTTTATAACTATCTAGTCATGGCCTCTTCCAATGATTTCTAATGACGTTATTAACATTTTATGATCAATTAATATTGTTTTATATTATCATTCTCAATGATCATAAAGCACAATACTTATTTTCAACATCTTGGGTACTTTGACATAGTGCACCTGTGTGATTCAGTCAAACAAACATTGTCAAGAAAAATATTAGCTTAAAAGCAAACCAACATTCACGCCTCAACACCAAACTTTTAATAACAATACAATAAATAATTAAAAGTATTTCGTTGAAAATAAACACAAAATATCAATGTAAAAATGTCCGACTTCAACATTATAAATGACATCAAGCTTTTAATAAAGATATTAAAAATCATTAATAACGAATGATCAAGTCACTGATAAGGAAATAGATTTTTGTTATAAAAAAATATTAATAATATTCTGATACAATGTTTAATGTCAAACAACACTAAAAACGCATTAATAAGTAACATGTGTTTAATGGATAATGCATCCAAAATTTTTGATAATGATAGCAACTAATGATTGTTAAGTACCTTACTAGATATTATTAATATCTTATTTTTTCAAACATTGATAATGCTTATACACACCTATTAATAATGACACCAACTACATTACCAATTTAGACTGAAAGATTAATAACCATATTTATATCATTAAACGTAAATTCACGTTTGCTAATGTCATAAACAAACGAATACCTAACAAGTATGTTCTTTATAATGACATTTGACTAAGTTACAAACATAAATGAAAAATATTAATAATTCAAATCACTAAACATAAGCAATGTTACAAATGGAATAAATTTTTGCTAATGGTTGTATTGTGCTTGGAAAAAAAGATTGATAATAGCATTTCAAATGATTATAAATCATTGCGAACCAAATTGATAATACGATGTAATAGTAAATAAACTTCAAGTACCAACAAATTGAAAACACAATTTCACTTTTGCTAATATTACAAACAAAACATAATATAAAAAGTTAATAATGTCATATAAAATTATTAAAAACATGTCGAACAACATTAATAATAACACAAACGAATACATAACAACGAAAAATCCTAAACCCATGCAACGAAAAGCCCTAATGATGATTCAATTTATAAATATTGATAATGTCATTACAAAATGTTAACATTATTCGGAAGTTGCCAAGATGTGAGAGAGACATATATTTTAAATTTCAAATTTCCATTTTAGAAAAAAGAAAATTATTAAATTCGGATTTTATTAAATATTAAATAATATCAAATAAAAATAATTTCATATTTCTTTTTAATTATAATATAGAGAGAGGGTTATGGAGAAAATCATGGGAGGAGAGAGAAAGAGAATCATTAATTAATTATATTTGCATAACACCATTTACTCTTAACTACCTATTAACTACTAACCCCATTAACTATCTAATCCACTATCAAGCAATAGGAAGACTTTAAGATTCTCCTTAAGAAATGAGGGTTAAGGACTTGAAGAGAAAGGGAAAAAAACTCAGTGCTGACATGGACACATAATATGTTAGGTAATTTGAAATAGAGAAGGGTTTTTTGAGAAACTCTATAATATATTCTTTAGATTTAGATAGATTAGATTTAGATTAGATAGATTCTTTTGGGGGCGGGCTTGGAATCAGTCCTGACACACCGGTGGGCCTAATCCGGTTACCAGTTCGAGTGAGCTTTATATTCTTCTCAATCTGGTGGCCGGCTGGTGGCCTGGAAGCCCAATAACAAAATATTCTTTCTCCCGGCTATGTGAACCCGGGAACATAGCTGACCTCCATTCCAACTTCCAAGCTGCTAACTGAATCCAGTAATGGAAATCGCCAATATCATAGATGAAAAACCAAAAAGACCTCAGAGTACTTGACATAGGCTCTTTCTCCTTTCATCTCTTCCTTTTCGTGTGTTAGGGTTTCTCTCACCGATGGTCTTTATCCGCTTCCTCTGATCCTTCTGCACTTCTGATTGTATTGTCTTCTTCGTGTTCCTGTTTCGGGGAAAAATTAGCTCGATTCAAAATCGGAGTAAGAAAGTTTTTTTCTTTCTATTCTGAATTTTTTTTGGCGGGGCGAAGAATTTGATCAACGGGCTTATTCAATTGCAGGTTTAATTGGCTTTGGGTTGATAGCCGAGGCATGTATTCAAGAGGCAGTGGGTATGGGCAGCAAGCTTATGGCGGACAGTCGAGCTACGCACAAAGTGTAAGCTTCTTTTAATTAATCGACTTGTTTCTGAACGTAAATTTTGTGTCTTTTGTTTTAAAACTTGAGCTTAGGATTCCTTTTGTTTGTATTCGATATGGTTTCATTTGTTTTCATGTCTTCTCTCTTGGTCTGCCATGTTAATCCTGTAATGGGATCAGTGTTTGATTCTATTCTAACCTCTTAGGCATGCATTTTTTTTGTTGCTTTCTTCAACCGATGGATTTTGATGGTATATGGCACGTTGTTGGTGCTTTTGCGCATAATTCACGATAGCTAAAGTGCTTATTGAGGATTCCTTGTTTATGTGCGATTTCCAATTGAAGTCAGTTCGCTATTTCTATTGTTTTGGTTAATATAATGTTATTTGGAGTGAACTACGATTAAAAGTAACCGTTTTTGTGTCTGTTGATTGGTTTGCAGTTAGGAAACAACTACACTGGTAGTTCTGTTGGAGGAGCTGATTCAACTTCTCATCATTCCTTGGCTTCTAGACATCTGAGTGGCTCTCAAGAAGCAGATCTCGGTGGGTACAAAAGCTCAGTTTCAGGGTATGGGGGGCAATATGCGGGTGTCTACGGTTCAGCTGGTGTGAGCACTACCCAACCGGTGAGTTAGGTCTCTTTGCAATGTTGATTTCCCTTTTTGTCCCTTCATAGTAGGATCTCTCTCGGAAGTAAGAGAAAACATTGTCATCAAGTTTCATTTTGTACTCTCTCATTGATCTTGTTCCTCGAGTTCTGCGTGGTTGTTCTACTCACTGTAAAATCATTTTGCATTCAAGGCATAAACTTTTAAGCAGGGAGAACCCAACTATTATCAGTATCGATGACAAGATTAATAGTTTGGATTTCATGATTATGGCTGAACGGTCCCAGAATCTTGGTGGAACTTGATTTATCAACCCAATTTACCCTTTTGAACCTTGGTTCAGTTTTTTTTTAATTCTTTTCCTACACGATGAGAGTCTCACAAAATTTGCAATGTTTTCTTAGTTCTCCTACATTCACTTATTTGCTTGGAAAATGTGCATTAAGCTTCAGTGTTTCTTAAGCAGGTGACCTCGGTAAGTAGCAAGGGGAGTGGACCATCCGCTTTGGAAGGCCGTAGTGGCTATTCACCTAAATTTGTAGCTGATGAGTATGTTCCCTCGTCAAGCCATGCATACAGTCACAAAACTGAGCAATTATATGCAGACAAGCTTAGTGATTACACTGGCATAGACCGAAGACATTATGGTGAACGACATAGTTCATATATTGGTAGGGATTTGCAAACTGATCCAGCATCCAGATATGTAGACAATGTTGGCTTTGGTCATCAGGTTTGTGTTTGCAGCTCATTGCTTTTGCTTTTTACCTTTGACTTTAATCATTTATGTTCATTCAGTTGCTGTGGGGCAAGAAGTGTTGGTGTTTATTTGTGCACCAAATATTTTCTAAGCACTCTCTGCCTTTTCCTAAGATAATGGCGTTTTCTGCTGCTCTATTTTACCAGACTGAGAGATATGAACGTGGGGATCAGTCATCGATTCTCCGACAAGGACAACTGTTAAAGTCACAGTCAATGCATTCTTCGTCGCTTGATGGAGGTGCCAGGTAGTTTAAATTATTCACAGAATTTTTACATGTTCATACAAAGCCTACTACCTGTTTTAGGGCTAATATGTTTGTCATTTGGTTCTTGTATCCCTTAATTAAGACCAAAAAGGGTAATTTGTAGCGTTTTTAATACAAGTAGACTGTTACTTGTGGTCATAGTCCGGGCACAGCTATGCTAACTGCTGTATGCTTGCAAATTGCACTGTTGGCACAATGGCAGACCAATCGATTACCTTGCAGCAAGAGGTGCTGCTGCTAGCCGTCATCTGAAACAGGATCTTGTTGTGTCTTATGGAGGAGGAAGAGGGGATGCTGATCCTCGAAGCTCCTCAATTCTTAATAATGCTTCTTATAACGGACAACAACATGCTTCATCCATACTAGGGGCAGCTCCACGAAGAAGCGTCGATGATCTTCTATATTCTCAAAGTTTATCGAACCCAGGCTATGGTGTTAGCCTCCCTCCTGGTAGAGATTATGGTTCAGGAAAAGGGCCGCTGCATGGAGCATCACTAGAGCCAGAGTATCGTCCTCTTCATCCAAGGCTCGATGATCGAAGGGATGAAAGAGCCGGTTATCTTCGGGAGTTTGAGCTGCGTGAGGAAGAACGTCGTCGAGAGTTCTTGCGCGAGAGGGAAAAAGAAAGGGAGAAGGAACGAGAGAGGGAAAGAGAGAGGGAAAGGGAGCGTGAACATGAAAGAGAACGGGAAAGAGAACGGAGGCGTGATAGGGAGCGGATGGTGGAGCGACGGGAGAAGGGAAGGGAGCGGAAGCGCGTAGTTGAGATTAGACGCGAACGAACTCCACCAAGACCATTGAGGGATCCTCGTGGGTCCTCTTTGACAAGAGAGGCGGGACGATCTTCGCGACGTGATTCCATGAGCCAAGAAGCTTCACATAGGTGGTGGATCTTGACGACCCAATTTGCATCCTACTGTTGAATATGTAGCTGATCGTCTCTTGAAGCATTCTTAAACTAACTTGCTCTTCTGTTATGCTGAAGGCGTCATTCTTCACCTGTTAAAGATAAAAGGAGGGAATATGTTTGCAAGGTAAACAGCAGCAAGTGATAAAGAGTATAGTCATGCAATGAATCTTCCTCTTTGACAATCTGGTCTTGATTCCTTCCTACCCTTTATCTCGCTGGTCTTCCTTTCCCGGTATTTGGATGCACAAGCTCTTTCTGGTCTCCTGATCAACTGCCCCTTGAATTGGTGCTCTTCAAATTTCACCTGAATCTTTTCTTCCGCAAACTCTCTTTTAAACTTCTTACCTATTGGTTGATCTCTTTATCTTGCTGTTTAGTTCTCATGCCAGCTGTCCTCATTTCTAATCACTCTTAGCAGTCCCTCACTCGTTGTTTAATCCCAAATTGCATTTTCCATGGGCCTCCATCCGGACTGCTTCCTTTTGAATTTCTGTTGATCACTCTGTTTATTCCAGAACATATCTGTTCTTGGATTTTTCTCAACTTCATATCACTAATTTGTACCTCAACTTCTCTGGGTTTCAATCCTTCTATTCCAGAGTAAAGTGCATTATTTGTCTGCTTGAAAATTCGTGACTTCATATAGAACTTGAAATTTGTCATTTTTGTGTGATGAATTATGCGTCAACATGAAGAGCTTTATGCTGACTCTGCAACCTCGTTGGAGCTACCGACTTTTTGTGTTAGAAAATGAGAGGAATTTGAAGCTGCTCTACTCAATCACATTTTTTAATCTCTTGGCTATCATAAATTTATTGGGTCTGCCCTTTTTAATGTTTCAATTCTTTCTATTTGCAGGTACATGGTTCCTGTTTGGTAGACATAGATAGAGACTATTCATCATTGGATAAGAGGTATCCCAGACTCTTTGTGTCACCAGAGCTTTCCAAGGTGAACTCATTTTATTTCTTCTTTTGAAAATTTTCCATTATGATCTCACTTTTCAGATGATGATACTGTTAAATGTTTTCCTTGTCACCATAATAATGTCAATTCAGGTTGTTGTTAACTGGCCAAAGGAGAACCTTAAACTTTCATTACATACTCCTGTGAGGTATTGGGTTAAATTTCCGTGTAGTTCTAGTTCTTAGCACTATACAATTATTGTGAGCATGACATCTAAAAAAATGGTGCAGTTTTGAGCATGATTTTGTAGACGATGAAAAAGTTTTAGAATCGAAGGATGTCTCCAGCAAGCTTCTGGGACATCATCCTGTTAAATTGGAGAATGGTTGCAGAGTGTGGAATGCGAAGGTTTGATCATCATATTTGTTTCTTTTTTCCACTCATACTAATTTGTTGTTCTTAAAAACGCACAATTAAATTTTGCTTCCAAAATTCTCCTCTAGGCCAACATAGTGTTGATTGGTTATATTGTGGTCCTGCGTCTTTTTCATTTGCTCCTTGATTTGCAACCTTGTACCAATATATTTATTAGTTCTTGTTCTCTGCTTCTACAACCCTCTATGGGAGTTATTCTTGGTTCCTAGTTTCCATTATTTCGTATTTCCTGGCTGTGATAATATTTGCTGTACGTTCAGAGCAAATTTTATGCAGTCAGAGCTTGTTCGTATTGAAGGAGATAATTCAACTTTATCAATCTTCAATCCATGCCTCAGAAGTCCTATTGATACATACTTGTTTCTGATGCATGTGATTTGGGGGGTTGTGTCAGAAAACACACAATAGGTAAATATAACCAGGGATTTAAATTCATATGGGTAATATATTGCCAAGTACAGGTGTAGTCCCTTTCTGTCAGTTGATAAACACTACAAAACGATATCGGGTGATTCTTCATAATTGACTTCGATTCTTGCTCTTTCTTCCAAGCTTGGCAAATCGAGTATTTAACTTTCCAGTTCATGCATCTACATATTATTGCTTATAAGATGGTTATGTCTTCTCTTCAGCTAATTTTAATGAGTGGAGTAAGCAAGAGTGCTTTCGAGGAGCTGTCATCTGCGAAGTTTTCTGATGATCGTCCAGCCCATATTTGTAACGTCCTTAGGTTTGCATTGCTGAAAAAGGATCGTGCTTTCATGGCAATTGGTGGTCCCTGGGATCCTGTTGATGGTGGTGACCCAGCAGTTGATGATTCTCCTTTAATTCAAACAGCACTTAGGTATTGCTTACTTTTTGTTAAGTTAGTTGGTTATTAAACATTTATTTTTTGGTCACTGAAACTTGGTTACTTTTAACATCATAGATATGCGAAGGATATAACTCAACTTGATCTGCGGAACTGTCGTCACTGGAATCGTTTTCTCGAGGTAATAATGCACTCTGATAATTGCAAGTCCTTTCGCTTAGAACAAATTCTGCTGAAGATCCACACACCTTAGAAAATAAGACATCCTGTAGTTGTTAATCAGACATTGAGGTATAAGGTTCATGTTGGTTTTGTGATGTCATTCCCACTTTTGAAGCTAATTGTGTGGGTCTGCATTTTGCATTTCCAGATACACTATGACAGATTTGGAAAGGATGGCACTTTTAGCCACAAAGAGGTCACTGTTCTATTTGTTCCAGACTTGTCCGAATGTCTTCCTTCAATTGATACATGGCGGAATCAATGGCTTGCTCACAAGAAAGCTGTTGCCGAGAGGGAGCGTGAGCTTTCTTTGAGAAAGGAGGTATGTATTGTTCTTCGGCATTGGCTTCCTATCCTATTGGCAACTCACGGAATCAGTTGAATTTATTTATATAATATCTTTGGTTGCAGATAACTGGAGAAAAGAAGGAAGGCTCAAAAGGTAATTCAGTTATGTTTTAAAAATTTTGCACTGGGTTCCCACTGGTTGTTTTGTTTCAAAAATGATTTTATACTTCTTGATCCTACTATCCAGACAAGGGACAGGACTCTGCGAAAGATACTAAGAAAGTTACCAAACCGGATGCGGTGAAGACATCTGCTGCTGCTTCTAGTGCCAACAAAAGGGAGAAAGACAGAAATGATTCCAAAGACAAAATGGTTGCTGAGAAGGATGCCGACTATGATATGTCTGGGAAAGAATTTGGAAATGATGTTGGGAATAAAGCGAAGGATGATACTGAGAAGGAAACCAAGGTTGAATCTTCAAGTACTAAGACAGCTGCTGGTGTAAGGCCAGGAAAGAAGAAAATAATTAAAAGGATTGTTAAGAGGAAAGCAGTTGCTATGTCGGTTGATTCTGCCAATGCCGCAACAGGCGATATGCCAAGTGGGACGGATGTTGGAGAGAAACCTGCTGAAAGTGAAGATAAGGGCCCGCAGCCTGAAGGGAAGGGTGAGGTGGTGATACCTCAGTCTATTCTGGGTAAACCCAAGGATAAGTTGGATCCCAACGTGGGGACAGGATCACCTGTTAGCGTCAAAACAGCTGTGAAGAAGAAAATTATCAAGAGAGTGCTTAAGAGGAAGCTCACCAAGAAGGAAGTTACTGAGGGAACTGTTGGGACTACTTCAGTGGAAGAGAAGACGGTAGCTCAAGTAGTTAAGGAAGTAGAAAATGCAGGGAATCAAGTATCAGCAGAGATTGAGAATGACGAGGTTAAAGAGTTAAAGGAGATGGCAACTTCTACTCGATCGTTGAAATCGCCAGAAAATAAAGCAAGTTTGCCAAAGCCAACAAATAAAACAGATAGCAAGGCAATAAAGGAAGACAAGGACGAAAAGAAACTCGAAGGGAAAAATGGCATAGGCAATAGAGCTGATGGTAAGGCTGACAAGCAGAAGGGTGGTGAGAAGGATATTCATACTGCTGCCAAAAAAGGGAGATCAGTGGATGGGGAGAAAACAAATGACAAAGACGGGAAAAGTGAGACAAGGAGTAAATCTCCTAAAGAAGTGAAAGAGAAGAGAAAGTGTGAAGACCCTCCTAAACACCCTGGATTCATTTTGCAAACAAAATGCGACAAACAAACTTTGGTATGTTGTAAAATATATGGAGAAGATCTAAAATGTAAAAATAGGAGGAAGTTTATCCTTTTTTTGCCTCTATCTAATTGTGAGGTTTCTGGGTCTCTGTTTTGCAGTTGTACTCATTGTCACTCTCTTTAGACTCACTTTTGGATTATACGGACAAGGACACCGATGAATCAACAGTGGAGGTTGTTTCATTGCTCTATATAATCAATTCAATTCGTTTGGTTTGGTTGCTTTCATTGTTCTAACCTTGGGCTAAAATTATTACACAGCTTTCTTTATTTGCGGAGTCCCTACATGAAATGCTTCAGTATCAAATGGGTTGCCGTCTATTAGCATTCCTTCAGGTATTTTAACAAACTCTCTTCTGTCTAAGATGCTCAGACATAATTGTATAGTCTGATTTGCATTTCTCTTCTTTCCTTAGAAACTACGCATAAAATTTGTTGCGAAAAGGTATGAACGGAAAAGGCGGATTGAGGAAAATGATGCAAAGGACAAAGATGGAAAATCCTCGACAAAGCGCCTTAAACCCAGTGAGGCTACTTTGAAGAATGAATCTGATGCTGAAATGTTGAATGCAACAAATCAACCTGATCAACAAAAAGATAAAGAGGAGGATGCTTCTGCTCCGAAAAATGAGGTAAAGCCTCAAGATGACACAGATGAATATGAAGAAGATCCTGAAGAAGAAGAAGATCCTGAAGAAGATCCTGAACTACCTGAAGACAATGATGAAGAAACGGAGGATCCTGAGCCGAATATGGTTACTGAGGTAAGATTACTCCTTCTGTGGTGATTAGAGTTGCTGCTAGAATTGGAATGAAACTCTAGTTGTAGCTTGAACTGACATTGGATTTTGCGAGTTCTTGAAAAAGTAAAGCAGTATATGCTTGCAAGGTTACAGAGTTGAGTTGACGAGATATTCAATGTATTTGCGTATAAAAGAGTTACGATAATGAGTAGATAATTTGTTTACCTATCGAAGTGATTTTGTTTAGTTCACTTCTATTTAAGTAACTCTTTTGAAGCTAAAGCAATATAACCTCTGGATTTGAATGACTTCCAGACTGCGTATTTACATATATAGAGATTACTAATTCTTTTCGGTGAATTCAACAGAACAACAAAGAGGAATCAAAAACTACTACTGCTGATGGTGCTGCTCATGGAGTGTTGGCTGTCAATGAAACTGGTGGTAGCGATGGTGACACGAAGAAAATTATGGATGCCAAAGACAAGTCTGAGTTGTATTCTACGACTGAGGAAGGAGGTGCAGAAATAGTGCAGAAGGGGAATAAAGGGAAAGATTCTTCTGCTCCGAAGGAGCCAGTGATTGTGGATAAGGAGCTGCTGCAAGTAAAACTATTTTTAAAGTTTCTCTTTTTCCGCACACCCTTTGTTTTTGTTCATCAGCGATTCGAAGCTGATGGGTGTTTGCTCGTTTGTCTTCGAAACAGGCTTTCAGGTTTTTTGATCGGAATAGGGCTGGGTTTGTTAGGGTAAGTATCAGCGCAGAGTCCTTTTTGCTTTGAGAGTAACCTGTGGCTTAGCGTGGAATTGAAAATTTTGTTCATTCATTCCTTCAGGTAGAAGACATGAGGGTAATCATCCATACTCTGGGGAAGTTCCTTTCTCACAGAGAAGTGAAGGTACGTTCTTTCATGTTATCTGTTTCATTTGTTGCTTTTGAGATCTCTCTCATTTGATAATGGCGAATGTTAATGTTGCTATTTACTGGTTCAGGAACTTGTTCAAAATGCATTGCTGGAAAGCAACACCGGGAGGGATGACAGGGTCCTTTATCCCAAGCTGGTGAAGATGAACCTGTCTTAGAGACGAGATATGGAAGCGCTTTCTGCAGCACAGTAAACTTATAACAGTTGCTTTCTGGGACTGTAGCCAGCCAGAACCTCCACCTTTTTTGACGAGCTTGTTTATTAGATAGATGCAATACAGACGTGAGATTGATTGATATTTGATACAGCAAGCGAGGTAGATAATATTCATACCTCCTATCTATTGAAAACATCCATTATTGCTTTTAGCAACTGTTGTTTTGCCAGCATTACATTTGATGATGAATTGAAAGAAAGCTATCAGTCCAATAGCAATAAGGAAATAAAAAAAAGGGGGTTATCTTTCAGAGGACTAATGTTCAATATACCTTCTGTTCTTGAATTTCAACACCAATCAGTGATCTAAGTAATTTTTTCTTCACAACTTTCCCATACACCCCCTTCCCGAGCTTCATGGCTCTCTCAATCTCCAATACTCCACTCATGTTCGTCATATCTCGCATCAAAACCTTCAACAGCCTCTCGTCACTTCCCACAGCTTCTGCAACACTCTCCACCACCACATCACTTGCCGGGATTCGTCTCCCCCACCTCTTCACTGACGCATAACCGTCTTCATAAACACCCCAAAACGACGCTCTCAAATAGCCCTTCTCTCTCCCTCTCACGTTCCATCTCTTCATTGCTTCCTCTATCCTGAAGATCACTCCCCCGAAATCTACCATTCCTTTTCCCTTTCCTAGCCCCATCATCTCAATCTCCTTCAGCTCTTGCTTATCTGCCCAAAACCCTTCTTCAAACCTGCATCTCCTGCAGTGGCAACTGAACCCCCATGTCTGAGACATCTCCTTCCTCTTCTCTAACGGCAGAAGCACGTCAAAATAACTGAACGTGAGCTCTTCTCCTGCTTTCACATCCTTGGAGAGATGAACCATTACATAGTCGCCAACGTGCAGCCTGCGTGAGTTTGGGATGCATGAATGGTTGATGAATGAAGCTAGGACCCACAAACCAACACCATAGTAATCGCTGTTCTTCCCCAAAACCTTGGCGGACACCGAGTCTTCCACCAGGGAGTTAACGTCCAGTATGTTGAGAAGGTCGTCGGAGCTCAGGTCCGGTTCCAAGTCGCCGCATTCCTCTGTAAGCTCCCCCTTGAAGAGCTCTGTTTCAGGGATCTCAAGGCTGGCTTCGTCATCTCCTGGGGATAATGTACTAATTAGCCGGCGAATCCAGGTGCACTTTGCGGCAGAGTCGGAGACTTGGTCGATGAAACTCTTCCACATTACTAATTGGGCGTTCTCCGCGGAGTCTTCTTCTTCATTGGATAATATGCATCTCTCTGTGGCGATTGCTTTAGTGACCAACACCAATGTCCCTGCATCCATGTTCTTGGTAGCGAAAAGGCCTCTCCCACTGAGCTCCTCGGATCTTTTGATCTTCACCGCTCCCACGTACTCTGCAAGCTCTGGCGTCTTGCCCCGGAACCCGTTGAGAATCCAATCGGTGAGATCGAAAGCGCCGGTTCTCGATAAAGACTCGAGCTTTTTACATTTCTCAATGTACCCGTTTAGGGTTTCGTTGGATTGTGGGTCTTCCAGAAGAGCTGATTTGAAGCAGAGCAAAGCGGCGGAGTACCTGTTTAAGGCGAATAAGATCCTGCCTTTGCCGAGCAGAGACTTGTAATGGGTGGGTTCGATTTCCAGCGCTTGGTTGCAATCTCTGAGCGCTTTGTCGGGATCTCTCAGCCGGAAGTGGGCCTCCGCTCGATTTGAGAGGCCGAGACAGAGGGATCTCTGGATCTTGGTGAGATGAGGGGAGTTGCACAGCGGCGGCGGGTGTTTCTCGATATGGGATCGGCAGAGGGTGATGAATTGGGTATAGACTTGTACGGAATCGTGCCACTCTTCTCGGAGGAGGAGCTCCGAGGCTTTGAGCCGGAGCTCTTGCATCTGCCCCTCTTCCTTCATGGACGGTAGCGGATGCTGATGGTGGTGATCGTCTTTGTTCATCACGGCACTGAAACAGAGTGGGTAGTAGGGTGCGCCGGTGCGGGTTGAGAGTGCTCTGATTTTCAGAGGTCTTGTTGGTTGGTTTGGTTATGGTTCGGCGTTGGATTTTTTAAAATTTTGATGGGTTCTGTAACGGTCGGATTTTGTAACGGAAGCTGCGACGGTTGAAGAAGGCCTTGGACGGGGTTAACTCACTAGTTCTACTACTGTCCTTACTTGGGCCCGGACTTCGGCCGAATTCATATAATATAAAATGGTTAAATTACATATTTCGTCACTCAAATTATATGAATCTTTCAATTTTGTCACTCGAATTACTTTTCTTTCTTATTGGCCACTAACTTTACGAATCGTTTCACCGTTAGTCACCGACCGTCAATCTCTGTTAATTTTACGAAATTATATAAATCTTTCAATTTTGTCACTCGAATTACTTTTCTTTCTTATTGGCCACTAACTTTACGAATCGTTTTACCGTTAGTCACCGACCGTCAATCTCTGTTAACTCCGTCAGTTTTTTGATGATGTGGCAAACATAATTGCTAACTGGACCGTTAACTTAATGACATGTCAATTTTTTTTAAAAAAATTTGGCATACTCTTCTTCCTCCCATTCCAACTCCCCCAACAAACCGCACCAATCTTGCCAACGCCGCCCTCCTTCCTGAATCTGCCCAGCGGAAGAGCTCCTAGCATCGGAGACTCCAACCCCACGGGTTTCAACCGGCAGGGTCGGTCCGTCGGATTTCCCTCTCCAACTGCTGTCTCTGACCCAACCCGGAAGCGTCTAGAAGAAAGGGCAGCACATAATTGAGTAAACGTCATTGCCTTTAAAGTTATCGACGAATTGCTCATTCGAGTTCAGAGCTGCAGAAAGACATGACAAATTGCAACAAGTAGTCATGGTGTGTTGTGTTCAAAAGTTGGTGAAACAACTCTCTCCCTCAAATGCAGTAGACGAAGAAAAAAAGATCAATAGAAGGACGAACCAAGATGTAATTGGTCCATGTTTACAAGAATGAAAGTTCATTATGGGGTTGGAAAGTTCGGCAACTCCTTCAGACCGACCTAATTTCTCCCTTCGCCTGGTTTATAAGTCGAAAAGTCTAACTTTCCACCACTCCTTGGGTCGTCGTATCCCTAAGCTCGATCATCGTGATCTTAGTGAACCCTCTTTGCATCCTTTCCTCTCGATGATGGCTGCAATTTGCCGTAACTCCTTAGCTACTGCCTCTCTACGAACTAGATACTTGGAATCTTCGTGATCAGTATTCTGATCAGCTCGCATCCCCTGGGGATGGGAGCTACCTTGAACCTTCTCTTATCACTTTTGAAAGGGTTTTCACTAAACGGCCCGCTTAGGAATCTGCTTTTTCTCCTTCCCGAGGCGTGTCAAAACCTCACACTGTCTCCTAGAGTTAATTTCCTAATCATGATTTGAGTATAAACTGGAGATTCTAAAAATCCTCAAAAGAACCCTGACTCATTTGGCCAAACCTTTAACCCGACACCCTTTTTCCTTTCCTTTAAAAACATAAACCTTGAAAAACTCAGATCGTCACTCCAGTATTCCTTGGAGACCAAGAAACAGAGGAGTGCAGGCTCTGATACCAAAATGAAACGTCCCGACCTTTTTTGAAAATCAAACCACAACTCAAACCCAAAACCGGTTACTCCGGAGCAACCCAACCCACTTTTAAAATAACAAACTGACTTTATTTAATAATTTTAAATCAAAAAGCCCCAACATTTGGGCAAAATCTCAATCTCAAATACTTAAAACAACTTAACCCAGAATCTCCATTACATAAACTGATAATCATGCTTGAACAAAATAATTAAACTAACTCTAGCTAGCTCTAACTCCTTGCTGATTCCCTAAGGTCTCGTCACTGCTGGTGTGACAGCTTGCCTCGTCTTACTTCTTCTCGGAATCCACCTCTGCTAACCCTTCCCCAACCTGGTGAGTGAGAAGGGGTCAGTCTCGTCGTTACTTACTAAGGTCTTTGCCCTAGGCAAACCCTTACCATACACATTATTAGTGGGTTTCCTCTCTTAGACGAAACCGTTTTCGCTTTCATCCTTAATAACTCACTTCAACTTTAACTCATGGAGGTTCTCAACTTTTATCCTTAAATCATAAAAGTTCTCTACTACTACCTTAACTCACATACTTATTACTAGGGAATCAACGCATTACGTATCGCCGTCCGGTGTCCCTATCCTCAAGGCAATGGTACTGCGTTACGTATCGCCGTCCAGTCCATGCCCGGTCAACTACTGCGTTACGTATCGCCGTCCAGTAGTGACCCGACCATCTACCGCGTCCAGTAGTGGCCCAACCGCCCAGGGGTTCAATTACCATCATCCATACACAACACACACACATAGCACAACGCGTGCCTCCACCTTAAGTAGGCGGTGGGATGCCTCACACACATAATCGCGCTTACTTGAAAATTAAATAACATAACTAAATTAAAAAGGCATAAACTATAAGACCTCGACGGAGATTTTACCCCCTTTACACTCACCTTAACTTCCGGTCGATATGTGGTCTATTTTTGTGGCGTCTCCTCTAGCCTCGATCATCTTTATCTAATCATCAGAAGTTGTATAACTCCCTATCACAAGAAAAACCCGCGTAACTTACGTGGTTGATATAGTAATATCAATTAATCCCTTCAATTCATGCGTGACCTCCCACTTGTTTTATTTGTTAGAACACATCGTCCATCTCTCTACAGAACCATGTACCTTCCATTCTTAAATTATGTGACTAACAATCCAACCCATTGCCTTACTAATTACCCACTGTCAATACAATTCCAATTTCCATTTCCAAACAACACTTAATAGGCTTCATACCCATCTTACTAAACTCATAGGAAGGTATACATATATCTATATGTCCCACTAATCCATACTAGTTGCTTATTCACAAGCCTCAAGAGAAGAAAATACTACACCACGTATGTTCATGCATGGATGGAATTTACAATGATTCTTCGTCCCCTCCGTTATAAAGACTCGGTACCATTTCTCAGCTTAACCCTCACCCAGAATCGCACCATTGACGTTGTCCCGCAAATCAACATTGATACTCAAATTGATATGACCCTAATTCGAAGAGACCCTCGAACTTGGACCAAAAATCAGAATTGCACAACGTCGAACTCTTTTTGGGTTTTCGCCTTTCTTGAATAGCACGAAAGTAAAGATACTTGCGGAATCGATCAAACAAATCCGAACTCGTGAGAAGGGCCAGAAGGTATATGAAACCTTCCAAACAATCTCGAACCCGTGGAAGAGGCCAACCGATATCGTCGATGCTCGCCACAACTAGACGCGTTCTCTAGTTGATAAGAGACCACTCAAACCTCCCGAATCCTCAAAGGAGCAAATAAGCAAAAAACTTTCACTTGAACTTGTAAACACTTGTATTTGATTGCTGAAACTTGAATGTTGGGTACAAAATTCGTAGCTCTTACATCCTCTATTTATAGAGGTCACAAAAACATAAAACTAACCTAAAAGGAATAGGAAAACAAATCCCAAACTAACTAGGAAACATAATACTACTTAAATAAGGACTATAACTCGTTTTTATGACCAAAGGAAGCTCCTTAGCAGCTAAGTAATCTCCAAACACGTTTTTCATTGCTTAAGGAAGCTCCTTAGTGGTTAAGCAATCTCTTTCCTTGTCCTTTTCACATTTGGATGACTTGGGAAGCAAGGGTGGACGTTTTGGGCTCCAAGAAATGTTGTAGGCCGGATCCTTAATGCATTCTCCATTTTATCCATCAAGAATGCTCCCAGTTGATCCTTAAATCGTTGAATTCGAACCTTCATTTTGGGACCACGAGAATTGAATATCGCACTAGTCGATATCGCATCATTCCCTCTCTCTTGAAGAAGATTCGACCTCGAATCTTTATCGAATCGTGATCCTTGATGAGCGCCACTCTTCTTGGTCTTCCAACGAAATTGCCTTGGTGAGGATTGTATTATCCCCCCCTTCTTTTGAACAATTCGTCCACGAATTGTAGAGACATCACAAAGTGGAAAATTTTCTATGTAGCTCAAAACCTCTCGTTGATTTTCCATGTGGACTTCCTCTTCGATAATTGCATCACCAAGCACAAAATCAATATGAGCAACTTCGAGAACTATTGGTGAATGCTCCATAATGTCCAAGCATTCATCTCCGCCCTTGCATTCTGATTCCTCAATGTATTGTTTAACTTCTTGCACACTCATATCCGGAACATCAACAAGAATATATCCTTTTACGTCTTCTGCCTCTTCTTCAACTTTCTCTTCTACTGCAAATTTTGGTTCTTCTTGAGATGAAATCAAAACTTGTGCATCATCTTCACAAATGACTATAGTAAGCCCATCAACAAGAACCACGTCCTTATCTTCTTCGACTTCGGCTTCTAACTCAACTTCCTCACCATAGATTGAGTTTAAAGAAGCATCACTTTTATCAACATCAATGGATCTTGCACTGGCAACCTCTTGCTCTTTCTCCTTCTGTGATTCTAGACAGTTGATCGACAATTTCTCTACTTCCAGATGCGCTTGCTCCTCCTCATAGGCTTGTTGTAATTGCCTCCTATCTTCATCGAAATCTTCATACTCTTCACAAAAAGTATCCAGAAGTGGACCTTCCATAGGTGATATTTCAATATACTCATCCTCGTCTTGATGTTGAATTGCTTGAATCTTGATGTCAAAGACTTCTGGACTTGTCTCTTGTGTCTCTATGGTAGCCTCAAAAGAATAATCTTGCTCTGGATTTGGATTCCCTATCTTCAACGAAGCTTCTGGTTGGATTATCACGGATGACGCACTAATTCCCCATGAAATTGCCAATCGAGTAAGGCTCGCATTTATTTGTGCTTGCCCTTGACGATAAGTTTCTATTTGCGCGTTGATGTGTCGTAATATTGCCGCCACGTCTTGTGCTTGTTCCGCCATGGTTTCTTGCTAAAGAAGAACCCCACGAATGCTTTGTCTTCAAGATACCTTAATTGCCACACAAGAAACTCTCAAGAACATTCAAGATTTGCTTTCTTGA